AGCTCCCAGGATTGGTTTCCAGCTTGTTCAGAGCTCTTTCCAGAGCCACAGGCAACAACATGAACAGGGATATAAACTTGGATCATTTAACCTACATATTCCAGGCATGAAACCTGTGGAGAGTGTTTGTATCTCTGCAATTACTTTCATACAGGTTGTTAAAGTCAGATTCATTAGCTTAGGTTACAATGACCTATACAACATGCTTACAACCCATTTATCCTATTAAAGGGATTTAAAACTCTCCTCCTTTCATGAGATGTCAGTGATTCTTGATTTATGGTTTGGTCATGCTTTAAAAGTAAAAGCAATTACCTCTCTTGCTATGGTAAAAACCCACTGCCTCAAGGTCGCCAGAATTCATCTATAATTGAGCAGCAGCAGCTCTGATGTTCAGCCTGACTGACAAAAGCATTGGCTGTAGAAATGCTGCAGGGGATGCACACACCTGCCACGAAGGTGTGTGCATCCCCTGCAGCAGCTGACACATTCTGTCAGGGGCAATTGCAGCCCAGGATGCATTTGTGCAGGGTGTTTCCTGCAGTGGCAATAATTTCCATTTATGTATCCTCAGATTTTTGGGAGGAGGGAAAAAAAAATAAAATTCCACACCCCATTTTCTCACAAGTACCAAGATGTTTTTTTTGAACCCTTTTCCTTTGAAGCCTGCATGAATTGGATTTCAAATTAATTTCTCTGAGAGTTCCTAGAAATGTGGTGACTCTCTGATGCACAATGCCCTCAGGGGTTGCATCATTTTAGGAATCCAGTTGACTTTCAAAACAGAGAATAAACAGGATAAAACAGACAACACTGTGACCCAGAAAAGATTCCAGAATCAGTCTCTTTAGGAAAAATATCCAAATTCACACATCTGTCCCAAACATGCTGCAAATATGGTTGGTGCTCAGATGGGTGCTGGTGGCTACACGTGGACTCTTGGATTCAAGCAAATGAAATGTGACACATTTTAGTTCCCCCTTTGCCATGTTGTGTCCAGGTGAGTAAATTTACAGCAAAACCAGTGTTTTGACATCACTGAGACCTGAAAGCCCCCTGGAAGCATCCTCTTGAAACAAAGAATTCATACAGAAATTCTAAACACTTTTCATATGTAGCTATAAACAAAAAAACCCCTCACATACCCCAGAGGGACATGGAAATTATCCTCTCTTGTCTGAAGATAGCAGGGACTCAAACTGGCAAAATCTGAATCTGATCAAAATCTTTAGTTTAGAAATAATTACATTTCTGTCCATGCTCATTAAATTAGACAAAGTGACTATTACCTTTCTCCCCATTGCTGTTTTTGGCCCCCCTGGTGAAAAATGGGTCTGACCAAGCTCCTGCAGAGCTTGAAAGGAGTTTTAGGATTAATCCTTGTCCCTGCATGAGTCCATAACCCTCAGTGACCTGGAGCTCCCCATTCTCCCACACCACCTCTTCTACCCAATCCAAATTCCCTGTCAGAGCTCTCATTTGAGCACACTTTAAACTTTCCCAGCCCTTTTCCTCAGCCCCACATATTAACACTCCATGAAATGCAGGGCTGGTCCTTCTGCAAGTGGCCACCAAAATGTCCCCACCATAGCCAGTCAGTGACACAACCACAAAAATTCACAATATTTCACCCATCTTCCCCAGCCTGCAATGATGCATCAGGCAGGGCTGTCAGCAGGGGCCCCACAAAGAGGGGAAATGGAGCCAGAATGAAAGAATTTATAAAAACAAATTGCTTTGTAACTCACCTTGTGTGTCCCCAGAGCTGCATATCCTCAAACCAGCTCCTCACAGGAGGGAAGGGACGAATGCAGAGCAGGAGAGGGGCACCCCCAGGACTCCAGCCAGGGAATTCCTTTGTCAAAAGCATCCAACAGCATTTACTTATTGGTCACAAACTTCATTCCAGAGGCTGGATCAGAGGGGTGTGTATAAAACCTGCTCTTTAATCGTGATCTCCATACTTTATAACCCCTTTTTACTCTGTGCACATGTTTGTAATATATTCACACTTGATTTCTGTGGGGCATTATGCGATGCTTTAGTCTATTATTCATCATCCCTTTTTAGGGCCACAGCCAATTTCTTCAGTTTCTCAGATGCTTTTCCTCACACCATGTGCATTTAAAAAAAAATCTTATCTTTGAAAGAAGCCCAAAATAGGCCTCTTTTTCTTTAAAAAATCTTATCTTTGAATAGACCCAAATCACAAGAATTCATTTGGGGTTTTTAATACAACTGTTTCCACTGCTAGAACCCAACATCATCTCTTTCCACTGCCCAAATATTTCGTATCAGATCAGCCTTTATGGCAAGCAAAGCACCATCACACCCAGACATTTGTCCTTGACACCATGGACCAGTGTCAGCACCAACATCCACCTGGGCTTGCTGGCCACAAACACCAAAAATTTATTCAGCAGTTCTGCCACTCTCACAGTTGGGATTATTTGCAATGCAAGCCATTAGCAAAAGAAATTTACTTCTAATACTACAGCCCATTAAATGACACATAATTCAATAATGTGTTACAACAGAATTATCTTTAAAACACAAAGCAAGATCCCTGTAGGAACAAAACAATAGCAATCTTTGATATTGCAATTATTAGAGATCTGCTAAAATATCTTTGTAGTTAGGTGAAGAAACATAAAATGACTATTTAGAACATAAATTTCCTGGGAAATAAAAGTTTAAAAAATTAAAATGAAGTCAAAACTTCCAAGCAAATGGCTAATTTAATATGTCTGCAACGTGCAAGATAATATTCCTATTAGGAAAGCCAATGGGAGAAAAAAAAATTACATTTTATAACCAGAGCCAAATAACAAAGCAACAATTAAAGATTGTTATGGAGATTGCTAGGCAAAGGAGCTGAGTGACTGCTAAGACAAATTTCAGTTGTATAGTGTGCCCAAGGGCAAAATTCCAGCCCTCAGAATTTACACCCAAATTGGGTGTGAAGGGAAAAGCAGCGACCTGCATCCACGATGGAGATGGAGATGGGCTCCCTGGCAGCAGCTCCCTCAGCCTGGGGCAGCCAAACCTCCCAGGCTGGCACCAGCACAGCCCCAGCTCCTCACTCACCTCTCCCTCTGCTCAAAGCTGCCTTTGGGCCAGCTGGGATCACAGCCTGCCCCAAACAGCCTGCCCAAAACTGGGATCCGCTGCCATTTGTCCCTTTCTCTGGAAAAGCTCCCACCCTTCCCCTCAGTGCTCTCCTGATGAGGGAACAAGGCAGGGATGGAGCACTGAGCCCCAAAAACACAAAAGGTGAGATGAGACAGAGAGGCACAGCCATCTGGTTACTAAATATTATATTGTTTTATTACACAGTTTTGTTGACACGTAAAAAAGTGAGGGAAATAGGGGAAGAAATTGGGAGAGAGAGAAAGAGAGAGAGAGAAATAGTCTCAGATTTCCCAAGTTCAGAGCATTGAGTACACTTCCCCCAAGGAAAGCAAAACTCTGCAACCAGGGCACTGATACAAACCAGGTGATAAACCTCAGTAGCAAAAGCAGCTATTGTGACAGAGAGTACAGGACAGGAGGGTTCCCCCCACTGGGAAATCCCTCACAGGTTCAAATGATGGCCAAAACCCTCTGAGCATCCCCTGTGCACCTACAGGAGTCTGGCACTGATGTGACAGACACAGGACAGTGATGGAATAAATGCCATAATTGCAAATTAACAGGGATTTTGTCCAGATGGGTGCAAGAGCACATCACACAATTAGGGTTATGACAGAAGTTGCTCATGAAGGAAAGGAAAAAAGTGTGGCTACATTTAAAGCTCAGAATGTGATCACTTTCAGTTTTTCATCACTGGAAAAGAAATGCATCTTGTCAAAGGCAGGACACATGGCCAAACCATGGGAGTCAGGGGGATGAGGATTTCTTTCCAATATCACAGCCTTTCAATGCCCAAGGATGTGACAGACAATGCAAAAAGGGAATAAGGCAGGAAAAACACAGGTGAGTTGCCCAACCAGTTGCCATGGGTGAGTGGAGGAGGGCACCTGGTGCTCCTGGGATGAAATTAGGGAAGGGGAAGGACCCCAATCTATCAGAAGATGGGCACTGGACCCCAGCAAAGCCACATGAAGATTGATCTTAGACAAGTGAGCACAAACTCCCCCCAAAGCAGAGGGAGACACAAGAAGTGGGCAAAACCAGGAATTTTTGTAAACCCAGACTTGAGTAAGGAATTGTACAAAAAGCAGAAGTGACATCAGAGTTTACTCACAATTAGATAAGCACAGGCATATACAGGCAATGCACAGAATGACCAGACAGATCAAAATAGCAGCTGATACACCCACTATGACTATTTTTAGTACTGTAGGAAGGAAATTGTTTATCTCTTCATAAAGATCTTGACCTGTCTGCATTCATTCCCCCCCAACCAATTTATGTTGCTTATTCCAGCAAAGAGAACACAATACAAACTTTAAAACTATACATTGTGTACTGAAACTGAATATATACATTACAAAACTTGGGGGGAAAAGGACAATCATTGCTCAGGTCCAACAACAACAGAATGAAAACACCAGACCCCAAACACATTAGGCTGAAGCTGTAGAGAAAAAGACTTGCATTACACAGTTCTAAGTCTCTTCAACAACAGGAATATATTTAACTTCTTACAAGATTTAAGGCTGGTGACTCTCCAGAGGTTTTTGCTTTGCTTTAACAAAACATGTTCTGCATCTCTGCATGTCAGTGATGCCCTGAGAAGCAGACAGGAATTACATAATTTCATGAGGTACCTTACACAGAAAGCAGGACACAAAGACGACAAGAAAATACTGAAATTCCTCAAAAAATGCCCCATCTGGGAATAGCTTTCTATTTATGCTTACCCACTGCTTTTCCCAAACATGACTCTTAACACAAAGATTTAATGTTAATGCAATTAACAAAGCACAATAAGCAGCAGTGTCTGTCCAGAGCTCTTCCCAGCTCCCTCATCAGTGAGACAAACACCAGTGGGCACCTCAGAGGTTCTTGCCTTCATCTCCTGATGTCCTCAGCTGCCTTGGGACAGAGCCAGCACTCAGCACCTTGCTGATGAAGAAGTCATAGAACCAGAGGGGGAAGCAGCAGAAGATGCAGAGGGGGGCGTAGGCTCCCTTGCCAGGGGTGTAGAGGCCCTGGGGTCTCCTGGCCAGCAGAGCATGCAGGACAGAGCCCAGCACAGGGGACAGGTCGGGGGCACAGTGGGAGGGCAGGTGGAGCAGGTAATTCCTCAGCCCCAGGAGATATTCCTCGCCATAGGCCTGCCTGGTGTCTGCAGGGAGGTTCTCCATCAGCTCCTTCTCCTGCCTGTCCCACTGCTCTGCTGTGCCTTCGATACCTGCAGGAGCAACATCACAGCACAGCAAGTGGGTTTGGGGCTGGATTTAAAGAAATGGATCTGTAATTAATATGCAGAGTTGATCTAAACTTTCAATTAACCTTCCTCTATATTTTCTAATATCAAAAACAATAACCAACTGTCATCATCACTCCATAACCACCCCCAAAAAAAACCACAGAATTAACCCCAGAACTTTCCCTCCCCCCAAAAACCAAACAAAAATACAAACCATAATAATAAATCATCAACCACCCACCCACCAAATTTTACGTTCTTGTAGCTTATAAAAAGCATGACACTGAAGATGTCAAGATGGGGCAGTGAAGAACAAACAGCACAGCTGGTCAGCAGCCAGTGCTTTCAGCTGGAAGAGGAGGAAAAGCACGAGTGCTTTGTGCCACACAAAAAGCACAAAGTTCATGCCCCATTTGGCTCCCTGCTCTACCTAAAAATGCTCTCTCACAGCCAAATCAGCATTTTTTTCTTTCCCCCTCCTCCCCACTTTGCCATTCTGTCCTGATTCATTTTGTGGAGGTTTCCAATCAGTATTTATAATAAACAACTGAGGACAGGCAAACTAAGATGAGCAGGATTCACTTGGGTTGGCCAAGTGCTAAGCTGCCCTTTCACAGGAGACATTAGTATTTCAATAACCAGTTTCCTGAAGGATTAGCATTCTATTAGGACAGATTTAGAACTGAAATTTAATCTATTTGTCCATTCCATCTGCATAATGTAGGAATGAAAGCAGGGGCTTTTCCAATGGAATTATTGCCTAACTACCAAAAATTAAGCATTGCAAATACAGAAAAATCTTTTTTTAAAACATTTAAATCTCAAATCCCAGGACTCAATTTTACCCATAAACCTGAGAACAGCTAAGCAGGGCCCTGAAGGTGAACACTCAGGCAGGTTCCACTGACCACACAAAGCTGTCAGAGCCCAGAGCCTCTTCCCAGGAGGGGAAGCATCCAGGGAAGTAGCATTTTATGGAAAAGACCAACTTGATTTGCAGTGACATAAAAAATGCTCTGGGCAGGCATGTGCAGCAGGAAATGAGTCTGGAACCTGGACAGGCTCTACAAAAAGTGCTCAGTTGAAGGAGGAGGAGAATGTGGAACAGAAAGCAGCAGGAGCACACGGGGAAGGAGTGGATAGGAAAGACCAGAGGATGTTGACAGCAGGCAAGCAGGGTGACAGGTATAGCTGCTGATACTGCCATGCCAGAGCAGCCCAATAAAGAGAGCTCTGATATTGAGGAAGGGAGGAGAGATGGGGGACCTGAAGCTCCCAAGCAGGACAAGGGAGCCACAACACTCAAATTGGGCACACATTGCTGCTCCATTCATCAGCTCCAGCAAAGCTGGGGCAAAGGGAAGGCACCAACTACCTCAATGCTGCCCTGCCTCAAAGCAAAGACAGCTCTGCCCAGGAGAGGGGAGGCAGGCAGTGTGCAGAGCTGGAGGGAACATCTCTCACAAAAAAACATTGAGCTTATTTCCAAAACCCACATAAATAATGGGGAAAAACATCCAACCCCTGAGAATCACTCAGGGCTCTGTTTGAGGCTGCTGAGCTACGGGGAAAGAGGAGAGGCAGAAAGAACAACTCGAAATGCCAAGCACCAACCTGTTCTGAAGCCTGATGGATGAATTGCCATGACTTTAATGCCCCATTTGGAAAGCTCTTGCCTCATTACTCCAGAAAACATGGACAGAGCTGCTTTGGATGCCCCGTACGCTGCGTACCTCGGTAGTGGAATGCCTCCTGCAGGAGCAATAGAAACTGATAAACCTCAACAGTGGCTCTTCCCAGCCTTTATTTCCATGATTTAGAAGGGAGATTATAGCACAACCAAAATTATGCCTCTCTCCCTGTGGTTAAAGATAAGGCAGTGAGGGAATCACTTCTTGCTAGAGGTTAAAAAAGAGTGAAAGTTGTAAATGAACAGTTGCTTACAGCAGTTATGCTCAGTAACACCTGGTAAGACACCTTGTAGGGCAGGAAAAATAAACTGGACTGCATTTAAGGGTAAAGACTGCTGAAAGTTATGACTGTTGATTTGAGAAACACAGAGTGATTTAGTTCATATAAATAGTGAAGCAGTACTTTTAGACTCCTGTTCTTGTCACTGTAACACAAATTTCAAGCCCCTACAATAAACCACAGTTAGTGCAAGGTAAGTCATCTCAATTCTAGTGTTATCAAGCAAACTTTCTTTTCTGTTCTTTCCAGAAAGGCCAGAGAAATAATAATGCAAGAGTGGGGAAAACCTAAAGCTGGAATCACATCCCATGAGTGACTGGACTCCCTGACAGTTCCCAGCATAGAAGCAGATCCCCTGCCTATAGTTATATGCCATCTTTTTCAATCCCAAAAACATTTGTTCAGAGGGGAAAGCTAAGAGAACATCCAGTACATTTACAAAAACAAGCTTCCAGAAAACAGTATCTTCCAAATGCAGAGATTTCCTCTGTCCCAAAAACTGGCAGGTTGTCACTTTTTCAGTGCTAGAAAAATACAAACATGCTTTGATTTGAGCTTCTTCTTCAGCCCTCCCACTTCCCCCACAAGGTTGGTGTTAGCACCACACAGGTTTAAGATCACCACAGCCACCACAGGCTGTGCTGGGAGGAAGGAACAGAATGGAGAATCCTTTCCTTGAGGCATATCCCTTCTTCTCCTGCCTGCATGGGCACTTGGGCACATCCTGCCTCTGTTTCACATGCTACACACTCATCTCAATGTACTTGAGTATTCAAAGGAAAATAGCTCACATCCAGGGGATTTTCAGGTAAGCCACTGGTGCTACTGGGTACTGGGATGACCAAGGTATGACAGGAGCTCTTTACACAGAGCCATTCCCTTGAAGAAGTCAGGCCAATTATATGTTAATTATTCTTCTGTATGCATCTGAACAAGCTGGATTGGTTTGAGCCAATTGAATCACAGACTTTTCCCTGTGAGGTCAGGCTAACCTGAGCCCAGTTAAATGAGCCCTACACAGACAGGAACAGATTCAGCACAATGCGACCTCACTAACTTCTCCACTAATGTTTCACCAAAGGACCCCCAGACCCTGAGCTAAGGGGAAACTCTTCACCCAAACCAGGCTGTGTGCAGCAACATCTCTGCAGACAGCTGAGTTTAAGCAGGGTCATTTTCAGCTCCTGTAAGGCCAAACTACTCAGCACAGGGATAAGTGCATTTACTCCTTCAAGGCAGTTCAGGGATTGTCACCAGGAATTGAGACATCTGCCCCAAAACACCCACACTGAGAGCTTCACTTGGGTGCACAGAGGAAACTCTGGCCTCAGAGCAGCAGCAGAAAGGTTCTGATAATTCAGTCCTGATTTCTCAGTGTCAGCAATAAACCATGAGCACAGACTTGCAGATACAGAGGATATCTGGGATTATAAAGATAAAACAGCTCCAGAGCCACATCCTCAGCATAAGGGGAACACAGGTAACACCTACACAAGTCACCCCAGCAATGCAGCACCATGCAGGGGGACTCTGGCTATGCAGAAGGGCAAAGGAAAATGTGGGGAGCACATGATCCAGCAAATCCCCAAGAGCTCTTACTCCAAAATACTTTCCAGCAGCATGACCTCCTGCCTCTAGCAGGTCTCATTTTCAAAGGAGCATTCTTGCCCCTCAGCTGTTGGCTACCAGATACTGCAGTACTCTATTACATTAGTTCCTACATCTTAGCATCTCAGCTGCTCTCCTGGAATAGAAGATAATGTTATAAAGACATGCATTATATATATATATATATATATATATATATATATATAAATTTTTGGGGAAAGACATGAAAAACATATGTTAAAATCCAAAACATTTTTAATTTTTTTTTCATGGCAAAATACCACCTTGCTAATAAGTTAGGTCTAAGTATTTCTAAGACATCCAAAATATTTTTAAAGAAATATAGACACACAGCTCCCAAGTTATCAGAAGATATCACAACCTGAGGTGGTCACAGACTTCTGCCTGAACATGTTATAGAAATACCTGTAATGTGCCACCCATCTTTATGTTAGCTCACAAGGTTATCTCTCATGCCATCTAGAACACAAGATCTGAATTTTACTGCTTTTTTTTTTTGTCACAGCATATTTTTAGCCACATTAAAACTCTTGTTTAAAGGCTGCTTTCTGGGAGTAGTGTCCCAAATTAAAGAATTTGGGATTTATTATCTGGATTTATTATCTTAACATTTATTCCCTGGGTGTACTGACAGCCCAGACACTTTCCTTGGCATTTGCTCCAGGACTTTATTTGGTGCTTTAGGACACTCACCTGCCATGCTGGACATGTTCACCAGCCTCCCCTGCGATTTCCTCAGCAATGGCAAGAAGGTCTTGGACACCTCCACAGCCCCAAAGAAGTTCACCTCCATGCAGTGCCTGTAGGTGCTCATGGGGAGCAGCTCCCCATCAGCAGGGAAGCCCAGGATTCCTGCGTTGTTCACAACACCCCAGAGCCCTGGGAAGGGGAGAAAGCACAAGGCTGCAACACACCAGGAAAAGGATCCACAAGGATTACACCAGTGAGCTGGATGGTGACTCCAGGCCAAAACAGAGATCATCTGCAGAGCCACATTCCCCACTCCTTGACCTGTCACTACCATCTTCCCATGTCCCAGAAAACAGAAGTCATGGATGAAAATGCCCTGACTGCCCAAGACTTCACCCTGGAAATGTCCTACACACCTAAGCAGTGGTGCAGCCAACAGCAAAGAGATGCACCTGTTAGGCTGTTACACCATTGTAAAGGGAGGAGAAAAAAGCTGTACCTGCGTTCTGCACCTTCTCTGAGACTGTCAGGTAGGCCTCCCTGACCTGGGTGGTGTTGGTGATGTCCAGCTGCAGGACACAGAGCCTCTGGGAGCAGGAGCGCCGCAGCTCCGCAGCTCCGGGGCCATCCTTGTCCAAAACCCCAGCAAACACAACGAACCCCAGGCTGTCCAGGTGCTTAGCCAGGGCATGTCCAATCCCAGTGTCACTACCTGAAAGCATCAAAAAAACCTTATAAAGTAGGTCTGTCTTACACCATCATTTAAAAAATAAATAAATAAAATAAATACGCACATTGGAAAGCCATGCAAATATGAACAGAAATATGGAGACAAAGTCCCTGAAATACATATATTAGTAGAAAGAAAGGTTCAGATTGAGGAGCTGGACCTTTAAATGTTCCTCAAAGATTGACAGGTCATGTTCTCCTGACTCAGAGCTGGTGGATTCAGCTCACCCTCTGCCACTGACAGAGTCTCTGACTTTATACCTAGAGAAGAAATAAAGCCCTACTTTGGTTTTATACAACTATTCAGGCTGAAACTTGACAACAAAAGTATGTAAGAGAAAAAAACAAACAGCAAAAAAAACACCACACTAATGATTTAATTTGAAATCTCCAATGGGCAAAGCAATTACAAGGCTTTCAGATTCAAATTCTTGGATTCTATTTCTACCTTCCAAAAAGCAGCATTATTTCATCCACACCTCTACCACACAAGATCCCTCAGATAAGCACTTCTTATTACAGACTGTAACCAAGCCAAAACTGAGCAACTGTAGCTTTACCTGCAAAGCATTCCAATGCTTTCAGAACATAAGAAAGCTTCCAAATGACATTTGTGTGCTAAGTCAGCTATTGCATTCATGCAAATTTGCATCAGAATTTCTCTCATCCTCTCTATCCTCTTCCAAACTTATTCCCAAACTTTGTCCATATAAAGGAATGGCCCAGCAGCTGCAGGAAACACTATAAGAGCAAACAAACAACGGTCTTTGGGATCACAATTGTGTAGTTCTTCCCATCAAGTACCAATGAAAGATAATTAACAAATAATTTGATTCACAAGTCTCTCCCTGTGACAGAGTATTTTGCTGCTGCTACAGAATAAAAGACAGAATGGTTTGGGCTGGAAAGGACCTGGAAATCATCTCATTCCAGCCCCCTGCCATGGGCAGGGACACCTTCCACTATCTGAGGTGGCTCCAAGCCCCATCCAGCCTGGCCTTCTCTGGACACCTGTGCCAGGGCCCCACCATCCTCACAGGGAAAAACTTCTTCCTAATATCTGATACAGACCTGATTTCTTTTAGTTTGAAGCTGTTCCCCCTTGTCCTGTCACTTTCATGCCCTTGTCACCCGCTCTCTTGGAGCCAAGGTCTCCCCAGAGCCATCTCAGCTCCCTACACCTGTATTCACAGGAGAGGTGTTCATCTTGGAACACCTCTCCCGTGAATACAGGTGTAGGGATCATTTTGTAGCCTTCTCTGGACTCACTTGAGCAGGTCCACATCAGAATCCCCCCTCCTCTGCTGCCCACAGGTTTTTGGAAGGAGCCCAGGACACAGTCGGATGTCTGGGCTGACACAGTGCTGGGTCACATTCAGCTTCTCATCAACCAACACCTCCAAGTATTATAAGTTAAAATTAAGTGTTTTCTCTCCATTTTTTAAATTCTGCTTTCCATTTTTCCCACCTGCAGTGAAACATACTCCATAAGGAAAGAAACACATCACCCATGTCCCCAGCAAGCCTCCAGTGAAGTGACACAGGTAGTGACAGGGAAGGAGTTCACAGGGGCTTCGCAGAGGACAAGATTAGGAGGAAAATTAGGAGTTTAATAAATTAATACAGTTTTTACACTGTAAAGCATCAGCCTGTTCCACAACACTGCACCAGATCCTCCACTGTAACTACAGCAGAGAAGGCTCCTGGATGCTGCTGTGCACTGGGATCCAGCATCTCCTGCAATAACAATTCACTAATCAATGTTCAGTTCCCAAACCCTGGAAATCTGAATGTGAGACAAAGGACTGCAACTCCTGCCAGGTATTCTACTATTTTCTTGTTTGTGGAAGAGCTGCAATACTCCCTACTTAACCCTACTACAAACTTCTGAGGGTTAGTCTCTAATTTTGGCACACCAAGAACAATATCAGAGTTATTCACAGGTCTGCTCCTACATTCAAAATATGTGGTCAATAGAATTGGATTGCCAAAGAGACTCATCATAAGCATGTTAGATCCTCTTTTCTGGGTTCTGTCTTGTAACTGGGGCTTTAGTCCTGACTGGTGAAAAATATTAATTCCAGGTGGCTTGAAGAAAACATGTACCTAAATGTCTGGATAAATCAGTGCATCTTGAAAAAGTAGAAAATAATTACTCATGCTCTATTTAATTCCTAAAACAAACCAAAAAAAAAAATCAGCATTTTGGCATTTTAGAAGTCTGCAATTTGCTGAAGATGCACCAGAACACTACAAATATCACATGAAGCTTCTCCAGTCCTGACCTGACTGAATAAACCTGCATTCTTGGAATTCCCTAGAGAGACATGAAGAAGCCTGCAAATATCCCAGACACAACAGATTTCTAAGTTTGGGGGTGGGGTGACTTTCCTTCTTTTTCTTTTAGTGAAAAACCTCACTTTTAGATCAAATCCTTCCTCTTTCACCATTCCCAGAAAGTACACAGCCACAGCTACATATTACCTCAGTTTTATGATGCAGCTTTAACTTGAAAATGGGCAGAATAAAAGGAAACTCAAACTTGGGATGGGCACAGCAATTCCAAGAAAGCAATAAAAGTTGTTTTGATCATTGCCTGATGCTGGGTTTGTCCCTGTTTTTTTTTATTCCAAAACAAATATGATTTGAGTTTCAGACCTGTTATTGAAGTCCAGAGAAGCTTTACTCTTCCAACTCCTAGAATTCAAAGAGTCTCCATAGGGGGAAAAAAAAAAAAGATAATTCCCTCCTAATACCACTTCTGCTTCTATGCCAAAAATAATTTGTGGGTTATGAAAAGCCTTATTTTAAGGAAAGCAGTCACACTGACTGTGACTGACCCTTTACTGAGAATTTACAATTAACTCATGCTGAACATGCACCAAATCACACCCCAAGAATGGAAAGACCAAATTAACTGGAGAAATTCATCCCAAAGCACACAGACTAACCAGGGACAGAATTTCACAACTCCTGTTGTTTCAGATCTTGGTAATAATTCAGTTTTGAGGGGAAGTGGCTGTTGCATTCACCACTAAAGTGCTTTCATGCTCCCAGCAAGAGGACCCACAGCGGAGCTGCAGCAATGCTTTGAGCCTGCTCACATATGAAAAAGCATTTTGACCACTGGGCACAGTTTTTCCCTTATCCTGGCACTCCAGTGAGCTGCTGGAGTATTTATTAAATAAATAATGCAGAGCAGCACTGGTACAAGGAAAATCCAAAAAGGACCAGAACAACACATGGCAGGATCCAGGGAGAGCAGCAGAGCTTGCTCCATCCTCTCAAGGATACCTGGCAGCTGCTCAGGACACATTTCTCAGCCCTGTGGGGCTGAAACGCAGAGGGAAAATGAAAAAAATAATTAAAGTCACCAGTTTCCACCAAGTGCCTGCCTGAGGTCTTGTCTAAACTGGAGAAAATGACACCAAAATCTACTTAAAGGCACCTTGCACCTGCAAACGAACAGGGACACACATCCTGTAGTTGGTATGGGGGAAAATACCAAAATCAGAGCAATTTAACCAAAATATAGGTTGAGTGAAACTTCTGTTTCAGTTGCTGGAGGGTTTGATGGATTGCATAGGATGCCAATAAAGACAAAGAGTCTCCTCAAATTAATAAGCTGTCAGAGATGTCCCAGCTTGCATTTCTTCAGGACAGTTGCAGCACAGGTACAAGGAAAGCACATTCCCTGACTGGACTATGCCCAAATGTTCCTAACTCCCTTATATTGCTCTAATTCAGGTTCCAGAGCAGATAAGCTCCCAGTGAGTGCTCTTTCCTGAAGATTTGCAGTCTTACAAAGAGCAAGGAGATGCCCAAGTGCAAGCACATCCCCTGAGCCTGCAGGGGTGGGAAAGGATTGCTCCCTATTGCCCACACCAACATCCATCCTCATCTGACACAGGGAGAAACCCAGCTGGCAGATAAACTGCAAGGGGAGCACTTGCTGCTGATCTTGTCCTCTCTCAACTTTTAGATTTAATCCCTGTATTAAAGCTTGCTAGGCAAATCTAAATTATTTCCAGTTGTCCCTATAAAACAAAATGAAATTCTGCTAGAAATTGCTATATATAAACCAAAGCAAGTTAATTCAGCATTCCAGAGGGGGAAAAAAACACAGAAAATAAAACAAAACCCAGCAAATTAGAGTGCAAAAAGCAGTCAGCAGGCACTCCAGTTTAAAGGTTTGATTAACACAAATAAGGAACATCTAAATAAACAACACCTAAAGTTTTAGAGGAAGCAGGAGAAAAGCCATAAAACTACAAAAACGCCATCCCTGCAAAATAAAAGTGGGGTTTGAGTAGATCAGAGTGGTGATAGAGACTGAATTAATTAGCTCTGAACTTTCTCTGCTGGTGAATTACTCCCTCCTAAATGATTTCACAGAGGGTTTCAAAGAGATGGCATCAAACCTCAGCATTGAAATATGTGCATGGTAGACACAGTGTGCAGTATGTACACACAAACCCCCAAAAGGCAACTCTACATCCATAATCAGCACAATTAATTCAAGTAAACAAAAGCAATGAATGAATGTAGTGTTCTGAGGGCTCCTGGGAATTACTGTCTCTCCTAAAAAATTAAACCATCATAAGTATTCCTATGCTTCTTGCACCAGTTAATTTCACAAGTATGTCTAAAAAGCTACTTGTAAAGATTAAATGAGACACTAAAAAATAATAGCACCTATTAAGATGCTTTCCTACTTAATTTCAGAGCACTTATTTACCTGGAAAAAAAATCCATCTCTGCCGAAGCAAATGAAACAAGCAGCAAAAGATAAAAGGATAAAAGGAACCCTCACAAGCATGCACTAACCCGAGGACAAGAAGTTTTCCAGCCCACTTGTGAGAAAAGGCAGGTTTTGCTCATTTCCATGAGAAAAGGCAGGTTTTGCCCATTCCTGTGAGAAAAGGCAGGTTTTGCCCATTCCTGTGAGAAAAGGCAGGTTTTGCTCTTTTCTTTGAGAAAAGGCAGGTTTTTGCCCATTCCTGTGAGAAAAGGCAGGTTTTGCTCTTTTCTTTGAGAAAAGGCAGGTTTTTGCCCATTCCTGTGAGAAAAGGCAGGCTTTGCTGGTTCCTGTGCCCTGGCAGCAGCTTACCTGTGATGAGCACGGCTCTGTCCCCCACGGGCAGCAGGTCCCTGTCCCCCAGGCACACGGAGCAGAGCAGGCACATGGCCACAAACACCCCCAGCCCCTGGCCAGCCCCCAGCGTGGCCACGCACAGCAGGGCAGGCAGGAGGCTGCAGAGCAGCACCTTGGCTTTGGGCAGCGGGCTCCTGTGGGCCATGGTGACCCCAAAAAGCCTGGTGGCACCTGCACAGAGCCAGCCAAGGGGGCTTCTGGCTGCAGCATCCATCAGCAGCCAAGGGGGAGCAGGCAGCACTCACCCCACCGTGCCCGGGTGGAAGCAGGTATTGCTAAATGCGGTGTGTGTTATATAGGAGCAGGGGGTGGGGCAGAGAAAGGGGACTCTGTTTAAAGCTTTGACATAATCTCACTTACCCTTGGCTTCAGCAAGGAGCAGGAGCCTTCCTTTCCTTACCTTTCATTCTTCCTGCCTGACAGCTCCACCTTCTGAACAATGTGCTGCCTGGATAATGATTGACAGCCCCAGGAATGGACATGATGTAGCAGGCACTGGCCCCAGGAAAAGATTAACTGCTTTTTTTTTTTTTTTTAATATATCTTTAAAGTACACTTTCCTCGACAGTGAGAAAAGGAGCAGTTTCTTTTATGAGGAATAGTTGGGCTTTCCTGCTTAAAAAACTTAGGGTGTAGTTTCAGTGGAACTGGTTTATGATGGGCAGTGACAAAAATGAGTCAGGCCAGGGTTATTTAATCTCTGGAACACAAACTGTCTGGGGCTTTATCACTTATGGGTAACTCTCCTCTTTCAACAAAAAGCCCCAAATTACCTTCTCTGCTTTAGTGCCCACCTTTACCTATTTACCTACTCCACAGTAAATTGACATTCAGGGGGTGCTGGGAGCAGATGATTGCTGGTTTGCCATGAGGGGCACTTTGTTAGGTGAACAAAGGTGGCACACCTGAGACTGAGTCTTCAGCTAATCTCCAGTGATGACACTCACCTTGGTGCTGGCAGCAATCACTGGCTTGATAGCCACAGCAAGATGTGGGGGGGGGGAAGTAATCAATTAAATATATTAAAGAGATTTAATACCTGCTGTGCTGTGTTCTGCAAGTTATTTAAACAATAAATAAAAAATTAAAAGCCAGCCAGCCAAAGGGATTAAGATACAAATTAGCCATGCATATTTAACCCTGTTTAAAAATCCCTGGTGAGTGATTTGAGAGACAAGCCTTCCACAGCCCCAGCTAACATGATGTAGCTGGTTTGCTGAGACAACGTGGTGCTGCTCTATCTGATTTCAGACATGAGAAATGGAAGCACCTGGTGCAAACCTGACATGAAACAGAGCACATTCCCATTCCATTATGCCTTTGGGGCTTTAAGGGACTACAGATCTCTTGAATATACACTTTTCCAGACAGTGAAAATGTTTACATACCTCTGCAGGTAGTTTACACCAGAGATCAAGACAATGTCTTAAAGCAACATCACTCTGAAGGTCTGCCCATCATTCATTACTCTTGCGGACACTCACCCACCCATCCTCCCACCAGTGCACAAAAGGAAAAATATTTTTCATTTCTCTTTGCCATTTACTTCTGCTTTTATTAGCAAGCTGCTCTGGTCAGCTATACCTCGCTGTCCATTAAGGAATCTTCTTAAATATTTTCCTGGAGAATTTTGCTCTCTCCCTTATTGGTCTTTGTCACACTTAGATGATCAGAAATGTGCTGGCATTTAGAGCATGAGCTCTCACACTACAGAGAGCTGGAGCTTTTCCTTAGTGTGAGGAGGGCCAGAAGTGATCACCCCAGCCTGATGATGTTTGCCCTGGCTCCCTTCAGCCTGTGGGGATGAGGCAGAGCTGGGCAAGGGGTGGCCACCATGGCTGGGGGCTGCAGAGCAAGCTCCATGAGATTCCCCCTCTGCTCCAGTCCCACTGAAATGTGCTTTGTGCTCATGCACAGCCCCTCCCTCAGACCCAGCTGGCAGGGTGGGGAATATTTGGAAAGCTGAGGGTGCCACATGCATTCCTTATACACCCACCCACTGTGGTGCAGGGACACAGCACCTGTCTGCACCCACACCCCTGCAGGACAGCTGTGGGGACTGATCTGTCTGAATCGATGCTCAGTTTATCACTTTGAAATAAAATACAACCCCTGAAGGCTTCCTTTAATGAGAAGGTGACCATGTGGGTGAGTAAAGTTCCATGTAAATGTGTAGATGATACACACCAAAAAGGAGGTTCTGATCTAAAAATGCTAGCCCACTTCACAGTGCCTCTGCACTTCCCTGACACCAGCAATGACAGATTGCTGCTTGAGGATTTTTCAGCACAATTTTGCCACAAGGTAACTTCTATCATCCTGTGCCAACTACTCATCTTGAAAAACACCTACTTTTCTCTTTACACTTTTGAGATGTCTCCAGCTCTAAAAGCAGTACAGTAACCCAGGATTGCCATTGAGTTTACATTATTTGCTATTTCTCTCTGCCATGCTTACTCATGCTATGAATATACACCATTATCTCACCTTCTCCTTATAGTTTCCTGGGAAAAGGAAGGCTCCTCCAAACTGTCAGGATTTTGCACCACCATGACATCTGTGTTCCAGCAAGAATGGATTTAAGTTAATTGATGTGGGGCTAAGCTCACCCTACCCTTGCCAGGACAGTTCTTTCTTCCAGGAGAAGAGGGATGGCTTTTCAGAGCCACTCACAATAACTCAGTGCCCTGTCCTTTTATTCCATGGCAAGTACAGAGTCTGCACTGAAGTCTGGACCCTGATTCCAGAGTCAGCCCATGCCAGTGGCAAACAGCAGCAGAGAAATGATCCTGAGCATCCTCCTGGCAGCTGGGCCATTGCTGGCCCTCACTGAGCACTTGGTTCCTGGTGTTTCTCCTGTGGACTTTGCAGATCTCACACGTGCACTACCATCTGAATCTCTTCATGATACATGGTGACTCTGGACAGTCAATTATTCAATGGCAAAAGAAGATGGCTTTCCTGGAGAAAAATCACTCCATGGTAATCAGCAACATGAACAGCCAGTCTCCAAAAATTCAGCTTGTCTTCCTTCAAATCCTACACTCACAGCACCTTTCACCTGCTGCAGTATCCCTGTCCCCAGGACACAGCAAGGACACCCCTCCAGTGTGTGAGACCTTCATCACAGACATCAAATTGTTGGCTCTACACTCCCATTCTGGAGCTAAATCACTTCTTCACAGACATTCTCTTACTTCCTCCCCACTTCTTGAAGCTTTTGTCCTCTCATACTGTGCTGGCTCTATGTATTTCAGCATGATGGATGCAGCCTGTGCTTTGGATTGCTTTCTTAACACAAAAAAATAAAGGCAGAAGAAAGGTTCAGGTTCCCCAGTTCATTTAAAATGTGGTGAAGCTGAGCCTGGTCACAAGTTCTTTGAAATACACCACCAAGCTCTTTCTTGGCTTTTCCTTGGTAATGAGATCTCTTTTGTCATTGCTTTTCATGGCTCCCTTTAGAGCTCAGAGATTTTCCTGATGTTTATAATTTTTTCAAGCCTCTCTGACTTTCCAGCATAGTAGAAACTTCCAGTTCAACCACGAGGTTTTCAGGCATGTCTCTGTTACCTCAGCCTGCATTGTTTTTCAATTCTTTGGCACTTTTCCCATGGGCTTTCTTTGCACTTTCCAGTAATTTACTAGTCAGTATTTTTTCCTTTCAGCACTTTCCTTCAGCCAGAAGTGCCATGTGTCATATCCAATAGCTGCTGTCCCAACTGGATACAAGTGATAGTCTTCTGTCCCAAGTGGAACATCAATTTCACTGTCTAGAAGCATGAAGCACTTTTTCTACGCTTCCAATTTCTGTTTCAGCTTTCTCTGCTGGTCACAGATTTGTTTTTCATTTCAGGTCATAATTTCCCACAGAACTCTTCAATTTACTGTTTTGTTTTGCCTGCTGATTCAGGCTTTTTCAGCTGTGGCTCCTGAGAGCTTCTGCTCCCTGTGCTTCTTGTTCTTTTGTGGCTTGGGTCAGAGCTCTGTGTTTCAGGTTCTGTAGGGAGGTTCTGCCCTACGAGGTTTTTCCTGGAAAATCATTTCAGCATAAAACAGGTCGGAATCCGTTTCAACAAATGAGTCATTAAGCAGGACAGAAACAGTATTCTAGTGATTAAGTACATATAGGACCTGTAGGGAAATAAAATTACTTACTTTTATTGCTGCAGCTTCTGAGAGAACGTAAACACCTTCGTACATTTGGACTTAATGGCTACATGAACACTTGTCAAGATGTCACTTGTGGATGCAGAAAGTGTTGAACTTCCTTAAACAAAATTCATTTGGGCAAACAGATTTTCCTCTTATAAATTCTGCAGAGCTCCTGTACAAAGGTCAAGATAATCCTCTTCTTTCAGCCTGTTCTCTCTTCATGCACTCTACTTGAAGCACAAGAATTGTCCCAGTAAAGACAACAAAACCATTACTCTGCCTAAAGCTAGAAATGCAGCCAAGTATCTTTGTGAATTAAGATCTCTGAACTCACAGGCATAAACTGAATTAAAGCAAAAAAGGATTATGTACAAGTGAAAATGAAGATGTGCAACCTCTCCTTTGTCGTCAAACTGTTTGTTTAATAGACCTTTAGGGAAAATAATTCCTGTCAAATAAAGTGTATACTTATTAAAGAAAAGTAAGAAATATCTTTTACCTCTAAGCTGCTGGAGATTTTGTTTTTAGAAATATAATAATGGTAAATATTGTAAATTCAGAGATAGACAATAGATCCTGAAGATCATCTCTTGGCAGTGAACAAAAAACTGTAGCACATCATTCCTCAAATTCAATACCAGCAAAAGACAATAATAATAACAACAGCAACAATAACAACAATTTCCTCAGCTAAATCTCCCATTATTTTCTCAAATGGAAAAAAGAACCTCAGAGTTCTCAGAGTGAAGAATGTCTGTACTGACGGCAAATTTGAACCTGTAAATTAAGCCAAGGGCTGTAAGTTCTGCCTCAGCCTTTACAAGAACTCTAATCACCCTTTGTTAATTTCCTGCAATAGACAAAACATCGGAGAAATCATTAAAATTATGAGCACTCCTTTGTATTTGCAAGGGAGGTTTTCCCCCTGAACTCTCCAGACATCCATGTATCTCTGGGCTTTCAGGAAGAGCTAAAAGGGGATTGCACTCTTTCCAAAATAAGTCATTTTTATCAACCCAACTGTGATTATTTTCCAAGAAGAGGATAGAATCAGAAAACCTA